AAAAAAAAAGTTTATTAACGAGCTGCAGTTTTATTACATCACGTGCTGGCACAGATGCAGTATATTACAGTTTTAGGATCGATTGCTCGATTGCTTAAACACATTTCTTGAAACTATGCCTCATATTCTCAAAACAGTAAACACAAATCCATAACGTCTCACCCAATTCCCCAAACATCATATTTTCAGGTCAAAATGAAGCTCTACACTCAAAACCATTCACTCTTGCTGAAAAACCAAACTTTTCCCTCAGACATCACACACAAGCCCTCAAACACACACACTACAACATAGTATTACACACTGCTGCAATAAATTCAAAACAATACTGCAAAAACCAAAACCAAAAACCAGTAATAAGTTATGTTGCTTGTGGTTCTCCCCCTCAAGGAACTATTCACATAATGAACACGTGTATACATTTGCACATTTTTTATTCCTTAATGTACTGTACAGTACAATACACCAAACAATAACAAAAAATATTCTGCCCCAGCATCACATCTTTGTTCTGGGACAGGCCAGAGAAGCTCGTCCACATCACAGGCTGTACTGGCCCTAGCTAGGCAGCGGGGGGGGAAATCCTCTTGCATGCCTGATCCTCCTGGCATCAGCTGAAGTGTCTAGTCAGGCTTCTTCCATTCCATCGTCTCTGTGTCCTACAAAAATAGAAGTACTGATTACTGTAACTGTAACATCCTTTTTACAAAATGGAAGCAGACAGAAACTCTATCTGTATGTAAGGCAATTTGATTTTAGTTCAAAAGCCTGGTGATAGTGTTTAAGCAATCGTGAAAAACTGTAAAATATTCAAGTAGCCACAAACCAATGACATTAATAAAGCAGTGAGAGGCAGCAGTGCACTAATATGTTGCTAATGTGCAACATAACAACAGAAGAAATGTTACTATAATTATCTTCCTGTTAATGCAGCAATGCAATATGAAATCAGAGTAATTTGGTTTCAAGAGGAAAAAAAGTAATAAATAGATTGCTTTTAGACAGTGACTTGTCTTCTAATTAAGTTGATAATGTATTATTTTTTTTTTGTGCTTGTGTTAGTCAATTAACTTTTGCAAAATGTATTTTTCATAGATACCTTAAGAAGCTTATAACTGGGTTTATATAATCCTTAAATAGTGTATGGCAATATGCTAAATTCACACACAGACTTAAATATTCAGCACGAGAATCACAACAATGGTAACAATTCAATTTCATTTATTTTTATTAATTGTAACAATAACGATTTTATTTGCTCTTTTGTTGTGCTACTACTGACACAAGACAGCAAATAAAATTGTCAAATAAAATCAACAACTGTAAAACAAAGCAACTGTATAATTTATTCATACCGCAATGCACTCTGGGAGTCAGTGAGTAGTGAGTAGAAGTCACGAGTAAAGCTAAATGAAAGGATCAAGTACCCCCTACAGTTCTTTTTTAGTTACTAGTTACTACGTGTAAGTAAACTATACTAACTAAGCATCTGTCAGTACAACATACTATTCCTATTTCGCTTTACTTCGTTTATTCAAGGCAATCGGTTAGCATGCTTTTTTTTTTTTGGTGGAGCATTTGAAGCAGGCAGGGACTTCGCACAGCTCCAGTGATCTGTTGAAGATCTGTGAGAAGATGGGGGCCAG